AAAAAACGCCAACGACTCTCAATTTGATAGAGGATCTTAAGGATTAGCCATTAGGCTCTGATACCATGCTAAAACATAGAGAATATTGAGAGTAGAGAGTGGAAAGTGTAGAGAGAATGAGAGTTGTAGAATATTTTCTGATTTTTCACTTATGTTTCATTCCTTACAATCAACACATATATATACAAGTTCCTAAGACATTAGTCAAGCCCCCCAAGTTAGGCAACCAACCAAGTTAGGCAACCAAACTAATTAGGCAACCAACCTAGTCAAGCCCCCCAAATATTGTAGGTGCCAAACATTAATTGACTACATAATTAACACATTAATTTACTACATAATTAACACATTAATTGACTAAACATTGTAGGCTACCAACCATTGTAGGTGCCAAACTAATCCTCATTAATTGACTATTGCTAACAGTTTGGCGTGTAGGTAGGTATTTTTTCTCCCTTTTAGTTTGTAATTCTCGTTATAGTACCTTCAATTTGATGTTCTTTAAACCATTTGAAGTATTTTTTTACTCTGGTTTTTTTTCTTGATCCAGTGTTAGAAATACTATATACATACACTATGAATATAAACACCAAACCAAACATATTAAGAAAATTGCAGACCTCCTGTTTTTACAAGTTAACAACTTGACTATCTATTCGCTGCTAGTTAAACCCTAATTCTTTTCCATGTTTGTTAGTTCCTTCGACTTTAACATATATGTCTCTGTATCAAGTTGACAATTTGATGTATGCTTGTATGGAGCAGCTAAGAAAATACATCACATGGGTCAGTGCTTTCGCAAAATGTCTGTGGGAGACGAAATGCAAATGCAAATGAAGCAACGGCCGCCATAGTCCGATCTTCCTCCTAAACTTGCGTCAAACATAGCAGAGCGTCTAGGCCCCATCGAGCTTCTGAGTTTCCGTAGCGTCTGCAAGGCTTGGAACTCTGCTTCTTCCACTGCCTCAGCTAAAATTGAATCCACACCAGACTTTGAACCTTGGTTTCTACTGTATGATGAGGATTCTGATCATAAATGCCAATTGGTCACAGAAACTGGTAAGAAGTTCACCATGAGACTTCCGGAACTGGACGGAACAACTTGCCTTGCATCAAACCAAGGATGGCTTCTTTTGTTCAAGAAACAAGGTCTTGAAGGTGAAGCTGTTGGTAATTGTGGTGGTGCTTCATCAATGTTCTTCTTTCAGCCCTTCTCCAAAACAAAAATAGACCTTCCGGGATGCCCTTTCTCTGAGCTCTCGGATCATGTTGCAGCATTTTCGTGTGCTCCAACTTCCTGGGCTTGCGAGGTTTGTGTCATAAACCGCGTCAATGATTATGAACTGAAGCTGCATTTACTTCGCCGCGGAGACAAGGAATGGTTCCAACACGACATTCCTTGTTCAGGAATCGATACAATCAAATGCGCTGCTTACAGGACTGATGAACAAGAATTCTACTTTTTCGACAATAGAGACCGGTTGTTCGTCGTATTTACTGATCATAACCTAGTGGGCTGGAGGTTTTCCAGATGGTCTCCTGTGGATCCCACGGGACCCCAGCCAAAATTCTTTGTCAGCAAGAGTTATTTCATGAACACTGACATGAAGAAGAAGCTGGGGTTGGCAATGGCAGAACATGAGGATGTTTCGTTTTCTACTTGTGGGACACAAAGGAAGTCTGGTGGCAAGGATAGTTTCGTTTACAATGAGAGCATATCTAGCAACAGTATTGAAGAATCCAAGAGCCGTCAACTCAAAGGGGTATGGATCTACCCAAAATTCTACCGAGTCCCTCCAAAAGAAGAGACTTGGTGAATTGGCTCCATCACTGTTTTTTGCCTAATTCTTGTTCGATTTATTCCTAGTACCATTCTTCTCTTTATTTCAGCTTACTATTGGTAGATTTTGATGTAATGCTCAATTGGTTTTCTTCTGGTTTTTAAGGTAAGGTAGGGGTACTTTTCTTATAACAATGGCTCTATCAACTTCAATTTCTAGCTCTTTGGGTTTTGCTTCAATTTTGTTGGTGAACTTGGTTTCTGGTTTGCTTGCATGGACAAAGTTTTCTTTTTCTTTTCACTTTGTGCAATCTGATTCTATATCAACCCTTCAAATTTGAACCCTCAAACCCATATGCTCTGGAAGAACAGAGCACTGATTTACATGTAGCATCTACTCATCTAAATCATTGGATTAGCTTCCTATGAATATGTAACAAAATCTATAATAATATTTACCAAGAAATAAGAATTTAATCTGGTTCTAATCCTTCCAAAAACAGAGTTTGGTAATTTAATTAGGATTTACCTCACTAATTTTCTTTCTTAAACTAGTAACCTCTATACTCGATACAATGTAATTATTGATGCAATGCAATACACAGCAAGCACATTGACAGCAAGCACATTGACAATAATAATAAACTAGTAACCTCTAATCCTTCCACGCCCACATGCTGCCGTCCTTTTAAAATGATTCTCAACCAAACAAAAACATACACAGCAAGTACATTGACAATAATAATAATTCGATGGCATGCAAAGATGAAGCTCAAAGGTAGGAGAAGAAAGAGGGGTGTGAAGGAAAAAAAGAACCATCTTTTCTTGAAGAAATTAAGTATGTTCAGGGTTAAGCTTCCCTATATATATATATATATATATATATATAAAGCGTATAGCCGAGCGGCTATACTATTTAAATATATATTTTATTTAAGCCGTATAGCCGAACGGCTATAAGCTTTAAATATATTTTTTATTTAAGGGGTATCGCCGCGCGGCTATACGTTTTAAATATAATTTTTATTTAAGTAGTATAGCCGAGCGGCTATACTGTTAATTTTTTTTTTTTTTTTTAAATTTAAAGAGTATACCCATGCGGCTATATTTTTATTTAAGGGGTATAGCCGCGCCGGCTGTACTATTTAAAAATATTTTTTTATTTAAAGAGTATAGCCGCAAGGCTATACTATTTTTATATTTTTCTTATTTAAGCGGTATAGCCAGGCGGCTATACGATTTTTATATTTTTCTTATTTAAGAGGTATAGCCACGCGGCTATACGATTTAAATATATTTTTAGAGAAATTCACATCTCAAGTTCATCTCAAATATACCCGTCTCGGAGAAATGCACATCTCAAGTACATAACCATTGTTGGTGATGATGAGTTTCAGTTCAGGTATGCTATTTATCTTTGAAGTCCAATTGTTTTTGTGCTCTCTCTCTCTGAGTTCATTCGAATCCTGACACTTCAAAAGGAACTACTCGGTCTACAGCTGATCTACAACCAAACCAATTGAGCACGAGAATTGCCTACTTTTGAGCTCCTTTGTTAGAAGTCCTATGGAAAAATTTTTAAAAAAAAGACCAGAAAGAGGCAGCATTGACCAAACTTCGAAGTTCTGCGTACAATAATACTTCTATGTTTGCCTTCCATTATTTCATATTTTCTTGCTTAAAGTACCCATCTGTTTGAATCGTCTTCTCCTTGCAATTTATACAGATTCATAGACATACAGGTGAGTTATATATAATCAGGCAGACATGGCCATCAAAGAGCATGCAAAGAATGATGCGCTGGAGGAGAAAAGAGAGCCATTAGTGAGGGTGGATAATAACTTGGCTGCTGGAGATGGATCCGGTCATGGAAGCACCAAGGGGATCAATGGATGGTTTACCTCAGCACATTCGTTGCAGTTTGTGGCTCTTATGAATTTGGATGTGGTGTAAGTGCTTAGTATGCATTCAGCTTTTGATTGGCAGAGCAGAAAATTTGTGATCTTTGGACCGAAAATTTCATTCAATTGTGTTGTTCTGACACTCTTTGTATGGCTTCCGGTGGGTTATTCATCACCTACTTAGTCTGCCAACAGGAAAGATCTCAATTTATCATTAGCAGAGGTATGAAGGTGACTAGGACACCTATAACAATATTACTAACACAGCTATTTTAATGGATATGTAAATGCATGCATGGTATTAGGGTGAACTTTTAGATTCAAGAAAACAAAAACAAGATATAAAACTAATTCCTGAAATGAATTAGATTCAAGAAAACACACCTTGGTTATATTCATTGATATTCTGTCTCTAACAGTATCTAAACTGTAAACTTGTATGCAGGCCTTGAGAATGTCCTGTGTTTTTTGTGTTGCAGGTTGGCTTGCAATTTACTTTTCCAAGGTTCATACTAATTTTACTCTTGAAATTTCTCTGTGCTTTCACCTACCAAGCAAATATTCTCCTCAGATATGTAACCTTATTCATGTTCTACTGAAGGGGGCTTTGTCTCTGGACATTGGGAGACTGGCAACCGGGTACGGTAGTGGAGCCTTTTCATACTTTGTAAGTTACTATCATTTGACTTTTTTGTGAGACCAAAATATAGTGGAAGTACCTTACAGATGCTATTTCAAGTTTCAACATATATGTTATTAACCAAGTTTGATGCAATATTGGAGGATGATAAGGTACCTGTTTTCATTGCTGAAATTGCACCTAAAAATATTCGAGGAAGACTAACTGCTATAAACCAGGTAAACATGTAATCAGAAATGCAATCCTTGAAGTTAACTGGCAACAATTAGTTACCAAAGGAATTGGGGCTGTTGAGCAGTGACGGAGGAGAGCTCGATTCTTCGGAGCTGTTGCCCTCTGGAGGTAGGGGTGGAAATATATTTAAATATATTCGAATTTTTATTTAAGACGTATAGCCGGGCGGCTGTATTCTTTAAATATACTTGTTTATTTAACGAGGCTATACTCTTTAAATAAATTTTGTGTTGAAGGAGTACAGCCGATCGGCTATAGTCTTTAAATATATATTTTTCTTTAATTTAAATATACTTTTTATCTAAGGAGTATAACCGACGGCTAAACGCTTTAAATATATATTTTTTTGTTTAAGAAGTATAGCCGCCCGGCTATACACATTAAATAAAAATATATTTAAAGAGTATTTAAGGAGTATAGCCGCGCGGGAATACTCTTTAAATATATTTTTTATTTCAGGAGTATAGCCGCTCGGCTATACGATTTAATTTTTTTATTTATTCAAGGAGTATAGCCGCCCGGCTATACAATTTAAATATATTTTTAGAGAAACGCAAATCTCAAGTACATCCTAAGAATTCTAGCTAAACTGGGATACTTACTATGATGATTTTATCGTTTTAATTGCAGTTATGTTTTTATATTTTCACAGGTTGTTTGAGATATTAGAACTCTGAGTTCTATATATTAACTACTACACAGTTGTATGGTAATCTCTTCTCCCTTTTGTAACAAAAAAAAAAGGGTATTGGTATATTTTTCCCTCTTCTTCCAAATTCCAATGTTAATTTGAAAAAAGAGTCAAATCTAGAAGCAGTTGATTTCTTCTTGTAGGCTCTTTTTGTGCTCTGTTTCTTTGTAAACTAGCAATGATTATGATACATCCAGCATTTCTTTTCTATTTTGTAGCGGTGATGATCATGTTTAGGTCTGAATTGGCTTCGCTTTGGGGTTCAGGGTTAAGCATTCGGCTTTTGGGTTTCGTGCTTAGAATATGAAAATGTTTTGTTTTAATGTTTTCATTTTTATGGTGTAGGTTTTTTGGAATCAATAAAACACTGGTGAACTTGAAGAAGTTCTTTGGCGTGTAGGTAGGTTTTCTTTCTCACTTTTAGTTTGTAATTCTCGTTATAAGGTACCTTGAATTTTATATTCGTAATCCATTTGAAGTATTTCTTACTCTGTGTTTTTTTTCTCATTGATCCAATGATAGAAATACTATATGCGCATACTATGAATATAAACACCAAACCCAACATATTAAGAAAATTGCAGACCTCACAGATTGCTGCCTTCTTTTACAAGTTAACAACTTGATTATATATTCACTGCTAGCTGCTAGCCTTCACTTATTGGTTCATAAACCCTAATTCTTTTCCATTTTAGTTCCTTCGACTTTAAGATATATATATATATATTTATGTCTCTGTATGGATGTATGGTATGGATGGAGCAGCTAAGAAAGTAAATTACAATATGGGCCAGTACTTTTGCAAAATGTCTATTGGAGACCAAATGCAAATGCAAATAAAGCAATGGCCGCCATGGTCCGATCTTCCTTCTGATCTTGCGTCAAACATAGCAGAGCGTCTAGGCCCCATCGAGCTTCTGAGTTTCCGGAGCGTCTGCAAAGCTTGGAACTCTGCTTCTTCCACTGCCTCAGCTAAAAATGAATCCACACCAGACTTTGAACCCTGGTTTCTACTGTACGCTGAGGATTCTGATCATAATTGCCAATTGGTCACAGAAAGTGGTAAGAAGTTCTCCGTGAGACTTCCAGAACTGGACGGAACAACTTGCCTTGCATCGAACCAAGGATGGCTTCTTTTGTTCAAGAAACAAGGTCTTGAAGGTGAAGCTGTTGGTAATTGTGTTGGGACTTCATCAATGTTCTTCTTTCGGCCCTTCTCCAAAACAAAAATAGACCTTCCGGGATGCCCTTTCTTGGAGCTCTCTGATCATGTTGCAGCATTTTCGTGTGCTCCAACTTCCCGGGATTGCACGGTTTGTGTCATAAACCGCGTCAATGATTATGAACTGAAGCTGCATTTACTTCGCCGGGGAGCCAAGGAATGGTTCCAATATGACATTCCTTGTTCAGGAATCGGTACAATCAATTGCGGTGTTTACCACACTCAAAAACAAGAATTCTACGTTTTCGACCGTAGAGACCGTGTACTCATTATTGCATCTACTATTCATAACCCACTAAGCTGGAGGTTTTCCAGATGGTCTTCTGAGTATTCTGTGGGACCCAAGTCAGATTTCATTGCTTACGCTAGTTATTTCAAGAACACTGACATGAAGAAGAAGCTGGGGTTGCCAGATGATGTGGACGTTTCGTTTTCTACTTGTGGGACACAAAGGAAGTCTGGTGACCTGGACAGTTTCGTTTACAGTGAGAGAATTTCTGGCGATAGTGTTGAAGAATCCAAGAGCCGTCAACTCAAAGGGGTATGGATCTACCCAAAATTCTGCCAAGTCCCTCCAAAAGAAGAGACTTGGTGAATTTGCTTCATCACTGCTTTTTGCTCTTTAATTTATTCCTTTCCTTTCCTAGCTAGTATCATTCTTGTCTTTATTTCAGTTTACTATTGGTACACTTCGATGTAATGCTCAATTGGTTTTGCTTATACATAGCTCTTTGGGTTTTGCTTCAATTTTCTTACATGTAGCTTCCTTTGAATTTGTAACAAATTCTATAATAATATTTACCATGATAAAAGAATTTGGTTGTTCTATCATCAAGATTCAAATCCTTCCAAAAACAGTGTTTGCAATACTGGGCAAGCCTTTTGTTCTCTATTTTGTTCTTCTTTTGTTGCTGAAGCAATTCTTTTTTCCTATTAAATAAAATTTTAAAGCTTTTTTTCCTTTTGTTGCTGGCTAACGGGGCTTGAACTTTGTTTCAATCTTCAAGATGCGATTTTCATCCTGAATTATCAAAAGATATATTTACAATTTTAGATTGTAAATCAAGAGGGCATTTGGTCTAGTGGTATGATTCTCGCTTAGGGTGCGAGAGGTCCCGAGTTCAATTCTCGGAATGCCCCTGGTTCTTAGATATTTTTTTGCATTTTTCCTTCTTTCACTTTGGCATGTGAAACGGGATGTCGTTTAAAACACCTCCAAGAGTTCCACCCACACCGGGGCACTTTTATGATTTTATCCTTTCAGGAGTTCCACCTATATTTATTCATTCATTTATTTTGACAGTTCAAAGCAGTAGTGAACTACTGAAATTAGAACTCTCCAATTGTAGTTCTTCCAATGACTTTGATCTATTCATGAAGCGCTTCTTCTTGCTTAATCCATGATCAATGACTTTGATCAGATTGTTCTCAGAAATCCATGATCAATTTCAAAAAGTTTAGAAGCTGTTGGTTTATCCTTTTTCGGTTTTGTTCTTGCGTTCTCATTCTTTCGAAACTTGCCATGATAATGATCTCCAATGTATCTTGATTTTGAGAAACAAAACAAGAAAAACAAATACAAAAACTGATCATCATTTAGATTTGAACTTTAAAACTTGATATGCTTTTTTGATACAAGGAACATTGGGGGACGGGAAATTCGAACACATGACCTAGGTGTAGGGGGTAACTACTCTTAAGTCTTAACTACGTGGAGCTAAAAGCATAAGTATATACATACTATTTTGTTATAAGGTGTCTTAATATGATTCATGAATGGATAAACCAACAGATCTCAAGTGTGTCTTGTTTCTCCTTTTTGTTCTTGCTCTGTCTTTTTCCATGTTCCTTAAATTTGAGATATGCAGCAGCCACATTTCATGAGCAACTGTGCCAAAATGTTTAAGAGTCAAAGGCAGTGGTCCGATCTTCCTTCTGAACTCGTCTCAGACATAGCAGACAGTCTAGGCATCATCGAGCTCCTGGGTTTCCGTATTGTCTGCAAGGGTTGGAACTCTGCCTCTTCCACAGCTTCAGCCAAAATTGAATCTACACGAGACTTTGAACCTTGGTTTCTTCTGTATGGGATGAATGGGGATGATGATCATAAAGATTCTGATAATCAATGCCAGTTATTGGTAGCTGAGAGTGGTCAAAAGTACACCGTGGATCTTCCAGAATTGGATGGAACAACTTGCCTTGCCTCAAACCAAGGATGGCTCCTTCTCTTCCAACAAGGAGGTTCAATGCTCTTCTTTCACCCCTTCTCTCGCACGAAAATAGACCTTCCGCAATTCCCAGTCTCGGAACTCTCTGACCTTGTTGCAGCATTTTCATCTCCTCCAACTTCCCAAGATTGCACAGTTTGTGTAGTCAGCCGTAGGAGTGGTGATGAATTGGAGCTGAATGTACTTCACCACGGAGCCAGTGAATGGATCCAACACAAGTATGATCGTCCCATAGATACAATCAAATGTGCTGCTTATGTCAAAGAAGAATTCTACTTCTTAGAATAAAGTTCATTAATTTGTTCTTCTTTAGTTTGCTTTTGGTCGACTTTAACACTGGTTTTTTTTCTTCTTCTGGTTTTCTGTTCTTACAAGAATGAAGAGTTTAAGAACTCCAACTACTTTTTGGGTTTGCTTTCTGGTTGTAGAGTTTAAGCAGGTGATGACAACAAATGCAGAACATATACATATTCATCAAATTCAAAACGCAAAATCTACTTACAACTACATCGTTTCACCAACTTTAACTAAACCAAACTATAAATAAGCTCAAAGTCTAAATCTCAACTTCAAAATCTAACTATAAACAAGAAACTTTCTTGCATCTTTTCTACTGTTTTCATGATCAACCAAAGAAGCAGAGTTGAACCAAACATGCCTTTGCAAATGCCCACTTCATCAGCAACAGTTCCTTCAGCCATTTCTTCACAAATGTACAACTTTCACCTCCCTTCGCCAAATCTCACATCTTCAATGTCAAATTGTCATCACCCAGATCATTATCAGACCGAAATAACTCAATAGCCCTATAATTTATTGCTCCAAATCCATAATTACCCGAACCCAAATAACCCTTTAATTTGTTCAATCCAGTCAAACTGAGCCACGAACTTCTATCCACAGTAGCTGCCCAGCAGACCATCGTCGCAATTCTAGCGTCTCTAACATTTCATCATTAAGTACATGCAACTGACCCAATTTAGGGCTAAATAAGGTAAGCAGTTCTAGTGCATTGTTGAGTAATAAAAGGTAGGTATAGGAGTTTTGGTAGGTTAATGAATAACATGGATTATAAATCCATGTTGCACTTGTATAATGAGTTTTGGTATCGATATCGTTTGATAGAAGTGTACATTTTATTGATGACTACAAAAAAAAAGTTCACGTTAATCCACATCACACTTATTTAGTATGATCTTATCCTTCGTAGCAATGTATAAAACACCTACACTCAAATTATTTTATTTTATATTTTAGTATAAGTGATTGTCTAAGCTACTGGGGATGAGAATTTCTCACACACACACAACTATGATGTCGTGGGGATTCAAACTTGAGACTTCTGGTATGCAAATCAATGCTATTTTTCACCGGGCTAACCCGTTGGCACCACACCCAAATTTAAACACATAGATTAGTCTGATTCCGTATAGTAATTCACACAGAGACAAATTTAGAAAGTGAAAAGATGAGTTCCTTTTGCTGATTTTCATATCCATATAAGTCCAGATGCTAGAATTAAATTGCATTAATTACCCATGGAAAAAGAACAAAAGGCAATAACTGAATAATTAAGGGAATCCAACTCCTAGATAAAATAGGAAACTGATTATTTTGTTGGTTTATGGAGTGTTTGTAGACTTATTTTATTTATTTATAATCAGACTTGTAAAACATCCAACATTGTTGTATTCCGTTTGTTTATTTATATATATATATATATATATATATTTTGGAGAAATATTTGTATAATATTTATTTGTTACTTGTTACTTATGAGTGGTTGCTTTAGCGATTTCATAATGAAAAATCTATTTAATATTTATTTTCCGAGGCCCAATCCTAATCAAAATAATATATCTAAATAGGGCATTTGGTTAGTGTTTTAAGCCGAGGACCAATTGAAAGCCCATTCTCCTTCTGTTTTTCTCATCAACATGAGCTAAGGCCCAAGTTTAACACGAGCGTCTTCCAGCTACCCCCCCCCACCCCCACCACTACCACGCGACCTCTCATCTTCTTCAATCCTCATCTAAATTTATTTAATATTTATTTTCCGAGGGCCCAATCCTAATCAAAATAATATATCTAAATAGGGCATTTGGTTAGTGTTTTAAGCCGAGGACCAATTGAAAGCCCATTCTCCTTCTGTTTTTCTCATCAACATGAGCTAAGGCCCAAGTTTAACACGAGCGTCTTCCAGCTACCCCCCCCCACCCCCACCACTACCACGCGACCTCTCATCTTCTTCAATCCTCATCTCGCCACCCCAAAATCTGAGCCACCATCATCATCTCGTCCTTGACCTTGGAGATTCCACAATGGCGTTTTTTTTTATGGGTCAAACCCGCCCAGCCCGCCTAGGCGGCCGCCTAGCGCCTAGTCGCCGCCTAGGTCAATTTTTCGAACACTGCCTGATCATCAGAAACCTCCGCAGAAAATAATATATTCTTATAGCTCCCAAAATCTGAGCCACCATCATCATCTCGTCCCTGACCTTGGAGATTCCAAAATGTCGTTTTTTTTCTGGGTCAAACCCGCCCAGGCCTCCCAGGCCGCCTAGCGCCTAGTCGCCGCCTAGGCCGATTTTTCGAACACTGCCTGATCATCAGAAACCTCCGCAGAAAATAATATATTCTTATAGCTCCCAAAATCTGAGCCACCATCATCATCTCGTCCCTGACCTTGGAGATTCCAAAATGTCGTTTTTTTTCTGGGTCAAACCCGCCCAGGCCTCCCAGGCCGCCTAGCGCCTAGTCGCCGCCTAGGCCGATTTTTCGAACACTGCCTGATCATCAGAAACCTCCGCAGAAAATAATATATTCTTATAGCTCCCAAAATCTGAGCCACCATCATCATCTCGCTTCCTCATAGGAAATCATGCCCGCCCACCTGAAAGCCATTGTTTGTGAATAATTTCTGCATTCATTTCCTTGCACTAGTCTAGGGAAGAAAACATGTGGTGCGTTTCTTTCTTGACGGAGAAAAGCAATTAAAACACTTGAAATAAGCAAACTGACGTTGATCCCAATCTATTTCATTCAGTTTCTGCCAGTGCCAACCAAGCAGGCAATTCTCTCAAGAAAAAAACATGCGTTCATGGCAGAACCAGTTACAGTGAGCAATGACTTGCCAATATCATCAGAGGGAGGCCCCACAACAACATACTAAAATGATGAATTCCCTACCCTCCATAAAAGATAATTCCAAACTGGATGCTTATTATATTACACCCAAGGGGAAAAAAGTGAGAACCCAAAATGAGATAGCAGCATTTTCAAAAGAAAATCCTATATACGAAGGCATATCCGCTTCAGATTTCGACTTTGCAAGCCCAGAGGTTATGGAAGACATTATCCCTGAGATTGTAGGTAAAAAGGGTTCTGGTAGCAGCTACAAAAAAATGAGACCTCTGAAGGATGAGGAGGAGACGGGCAGTGTATGAGTAGTGTATGTAGAAAGATCAACGGTGAAAATTTTCTTGGGAGGTTTTGCCTTGAGTGGAAATGATGTCTGTTTGTCCGTACTGATATCATGTTAGAATTTTGATGCTCTAGCCGCACTTGTGTTCTTTGTATTTCTATTTGTTCACTTTACTAACGAAGACGATTTGAGGAGAGCCGCAATGTTATTCACATAGATTGAACTTGGGTCGATTTCGGAAAAATGATACTTGTAGAGAGTTGCATTGGTTGAATTTCCATCGTATTTTTTGTTTTCTTTCTGTAATTTTTAGGATATAAAGTAGTTGTTGCTAGGGCTGTATATCAAAATTGTGACATATATCTTCTCGATGACATTTTCAGTGCTGTTGATGCTCATACTGGATCAGAAATATTTAAGGTGACATTGCATTAGATTTTCTACTACATTTGATAGTAAATAAATGATTTACTTCTGATTCCACAGTGATTGAACATTCAAGCTTGTTCTTAAGATAGTGGTTTGAACACTTTTTTACTTTCATAGTCTAAATGTGCTAAGATAGTATAAAAACAGTACAAAGTGACACTCATTGAATTTGATTTGTATGCATAATGTTCTACTGATCATGATTTATACTTCTCTGCAGGAATGTGTGAGGGGAGTGCTTAAAAACAAGACGGTTTTACTTGTAATTCATCAAGTTGACTTCTTGCATAATGTTGATCTTATTTTGGTAAGATTATAATTGCAGTTTGCACATGTATCCTTCCTACTTATATATTATTTAAACTTATTACCTCCAAATAATATCAGGTCATGAGAGATGGGATGATAGTACAGGCGGGAAAGTATAATGATTTGCTAAATTCTGGCCTGGATTTCAAAGAGCTAGTAGAAATTCAAATGAGCACCGCTATTCCCAGCAAAAGTTCCCCCAGTCCTCAAATATTTCCTCAACTCTCTTCGAACCACGGGGAAGCCAATGGTGGAAACAACTCTTTGGACCAATCAAAGTCTGATAACAGGACTTCTAAACTCATCAAAGAAGAGGAGAAAGAAACAGGCAAAGTGAGCTTGCACGTTTACAAAGTTTGTGAGTTAGAATTGCTCACCTTTTCTTTTTCTGTTTAAGCATTTGTTTTTGTCATAGTTGATGAGATATCCTATTCTCTGTTTAATCTAAATTGTATACGTTGTTTTCTTTGCTAACTGATGAGAATTTATCGCCCACCAGCCGAAACCAAAGAAACAAAATCCAAGCTTGAGTTGAGAGAGAGGCTCAAGACCGAGTATTTGAATTTTGAAGATTAGACTGCGAGTGCAACCTTCGTGTTCGTTTCTCTGACATTTGATGGTTTTTATAGAGAGTCCAATCCAATCCAATCAATGCAGCAGCTGAAACTAAAGAAAATAAAAATTGAAGGTTGAGTTGAGAGAGAGAGTCTTTGAAGCTTGGAAGCGCCTATAGAGAAGCGAAATGGCTGTGACTGCGAGTGCAAGCTTCATGTTCTATATCCTTTAAAATAATATATTTAAATAGTACAGCCGTGCGGCTATACTCTTTAAATATACAATTTTGTCATGATATTTTAGGGTTTAGGGCTAAAATACCACTTTAGCTAATTAGGATATAGTTATTTCTTCAATTATTTTATTTGTACTAGTGATATTGGGGAATGAGAATTTAATTAGGATATACAAGTTCTTTCCGATACCTCCCATTCTAATGATTTCCAGCTATTAGCCCATTAGGCAAGAATAAAAAATGGATTTTATTTATAAGAAATAATACAGGTTAAACCCATAAATGCAACGACAAAAAATAGGAATCAAATCCAAAGGTTTTGGACCTTTCTACACATTACCGATTACAAGATTTTTATTTGTTGCAACTCTTCTTGCCAATTAATTTTACGATTTTTAGCACCTTTCTACACCTTACCTGTTACAAGATTTTTAGCAACCTCGTAAAATTCAAAGATGCAACTTCATAACATCCTCAATTTTGGCATTACCATACAAAGGTTTTGGACCTTGAGTAGACCAAGTAGCGGTGGCTAGAGCATTTTATCAAATAGTTTTGCGATGAACTAGCAGTGTTAGAGTAGCTACCAAGTTCTTACTCTTGTCCTCTTCAGAAAAACAGAAGAAAAACATTCTGGGGGTAATCTAACTAAAAAATGCACTAGCTACAAAATTTAAATAATAACTATTTTACTGTTGTCTTGTAAGTTTCATCTCTGAAACTTGGCTCTTCAACAATGTGAACAGGAAGTAGTAATATAGGAAAAGATGTAGACTAGCGCACATCAAGTGGTCGTGCCCGAGTGGTACCGCCCAGGTTTGAATCCCGCCGACCACGTTTTTCCATTTTTGAATTACCTCAAGATGAATTTCCTTTTTTTATTTTTTATTTTGACATTTGGCTACAGAACTTCTTAACAATCATGAGTCACTTTTGAAGTTTTACATGTACAGATTCAAGCCTTCAAAGTGAGGGCCTTGAGAAGGAGTCCATTTTCAGTGATTTTGAAGTTTTACATGCACATGTTCTCTCTCAAAATATTCATCTCTAATCCTAGACATTTTGCCATTCTACATATCTCCCCAGACTGCGTGGGTGGGATGTATCACCTGACGAAAACCCATACAGATAAAGGGAACCATCAGCATCACCAGTATCCACCCAACTATATCCCACTTCCTTTCTCACTCTTTTATCTCTCATTCATTTCCCAACTTTTGCTACCATTTCCCAGTCCCCTTTCTCAGCATACAAGTTGGACATCAACACAAAAGAACCCGATTCCATTGGTTCCAATCTCATCAATGTATCGGCTACTCTCTCCGCCATCTCCACATTCCCATGGATCCTGCAACCAACGTCAGTTTGCTTACTTCAAGTGTTTTAATTGCTTTTCTCTGTCAAGAAAGAAATGCACCACATGTTTTCTTCCCTAGACTAGTGCAAGGAAATGAATGCAGACATTAATCATGAACAATGGCTTTCGGGTGGGCGGGCATGATTTCCTATGAGGAAGTTTTTCAAGGAGTTTAGGCAAGGAATTAGCATCAGGAAGCTATAAGAATATACTATTTTCTGCGGAGGTTTCTGATGATCAGGCAGTGTTCGATAAATCGGCCTAGGCGGGGACTAGGCGCTAGGCCGCCTAGGCGGGTCTGACCAAGAAAAAAAAACGCCATTTTGGAATCTCCAAGGTCAGGGACAAGATGATGATGGTGGCTCAGATTTCGGGGTGGCAAGATGAGGATTGAAGAAGATGAGAGGTCACGGGGAGGGTTGGTAGACCGGCTCGAGTTAGACTTGGGCCTCGGCTCGTGTTGATGAGAAAAACATAAGGAGAGATGGGCTTTCAATTGAGCCTCTCTCTCAGTTACATCTTTTTTATTTTTTGAGAATCAGATCATATCATTGCATTAAGAAGCGAGCATAACTTACATCTTTAACTAACGTAAGTTCTATATGTCAAATTTTGTTATCAAGGAGAGATGGGCTATACTATTTAAATATATTATTTTCAAGGTATAGCCGTGCGGCCATACGCTTCGAAAATATTCGAATATTTTTACGGTATAGCCGGACGGCTATACTCGTTAATTATATTCCAAAACGAACGCGAAGCTTGCACTCGCAGTCACAGCCATTTTCCCTTCTCTATAAGCGCTTCCAAGCTTCAAAGACTCGGTCTTGAGCCTCTCTCTCTCTCTCGAAATAAATAGTGGACTTATGCAAGTCAATTTTCTGTCCTGAGACTTTAGAAAAATTATCTAATAATGAGTTGATATTTCTGGCAGCCACATCAATTTCCCAGGCAAAAATAAGACAGTCATCAGCAAAAACCAGATTAGAAATTCGGTCGCCTTCAGGGGAAGAGAGAAAACCCATATTAGCTTTAGGATTCTTAGCAAGATTATTAAAGTGCCTAATAAAAGGCTCCATACACAAAATAAAAATATAAGGAGATAAAGGATCTCCTTGCCGAAATCCCCTAGAAGCATTGAAGTGGCCATAGGGAGATCCATTAATTAGAAAGGAGAAGGAAGTACTAGAGACACAATTCATGATTCAATCACAACAATCAATACTAAAACCAAATTGAGACAGGTAGCCTCCAATGTACCCCCAGTCAAGAAGGTCATAAGCCTTTTCAAGGTCAAGCTTAATAGCCATAGCTCCCCAGGTACTTTTCTTACGTTTGAAATCATGGAATAATTCATGAGCGATGAGAATGTTGTCAAAAATGGATCTTCCAGGAGCAAAAGCTCCCTAGTTTTTGGATATACACTTCGAAAGAATGGCCCTTAGTCGACTAACAAGGATTTTAGTGATTATACGAAACATTACATAAACTAATTGGCCTATAAGAGCATCTCCAGCGCAGCCCACCAAACCGGGCAAAAGGCCCCCCAGGGCAAGGTTTGGCCCTCCAGCGCTGCAGCCTGCAGCCTAGTTTCGCATGGGTCCCACCAGCTAGGGCAAGCCCAAGGGCAGGTTTTGCCTGGGCTTCAGCCCGAGTTTTGTGATGTCAGCGCTGACGTCACGCTGACGTCAGCGAGCAAAAAAATTATTTAAAAAATCCAAAAAAATTTCAATTTTTTTTTTTAAATACCAAAAAATTATAGTTGCTTTCCCTATAAATACATAACAATTTTATTCACTTTCTAAATTGTTTATATTTTGTTGCATAATATTTTTTTCCTTTCT